AAATTATCCTACTGACTAATCATAGCAAGACCTACCCAAACACTTGGATTCGATGTTTTATTCCATTTCTAATTTTAGTTATTTAGGCCTACATCAAAATGTCTTCTTCCTAGTACATTAATTTAGACTGTCATGTCTACCTGTACATTTGAGAAGTAAATATCGATATCAGGTAATTTTTCTTTGAGGGATTTTATCGTCTGAATTAGGAAAGACAAGTAGCTCTGCGGGACATGCACTTGTACACATAGAAAATAATAGTGAAAATTCAAACTCGGATAGTATACCTTAAAATAAACGTTAACAGGTGGCGCCACGAGGCACCATTGTGCTGATAAGTCTTGGTGACTACAAGATAAGTACCAAGAGATGGCGAGCTATTATCTTGTATTACATGTCAGAAGTCGACAGAGGAAGTGTTATCAATGTTTTAGAGAAGGAAATGTTTGTCACAGGGGACCATCATACGTAATACAGAAATATACTTGGTAGAATTGAAATCGATAAAGAGTTTGGCAACTTTAGCATCATACATTAAAATTTTATGAAATAAATGGTAAAAGAAAAAAGTATAGAAGAAGGGTATAAAAATCATGTATTTTATCTTTTTACATAAAATATTTATCAGACAATTAAGGAACATGGGTGCTCACATAAAAAGTATAAATATGACGTTTGGAATGCTTTATTATGTAACTGATGACAAGAATTAAACTTAAATTTAAAAACTGTACTGTATGTATGCATTCAAACAAGAAAATATAACTAATGATGTATTAACATATTTTAAATAATAACAATAATAATAGGAATTGGTAAAATAATCTACATGATGTGAGCAATTTTTAATCTGATGTGATAAATTTTTAATAAATTCTTGTTGTTTTTCCTGGAAATTGAGATCATCCTGGAACATCCTCAGTACCCAGTAATATTGGAGTGCTGTAGATACAACCAAAGTGTGTATACTGAACAGGCATCATCCTTAATTTCTGGGTCAATGCAAACTTAGCAATCCATGAATATTTTATAAAATACTGTAAAAGCACATTCAGGACAGCCATATTTAGTCAGCAGATCAGTTAGTCCATGGATCATCTGTTCTAAATGAACTCTACAAATTTTTTTGAAAAATCAATGTTTATAAAATTTTTATGTAGCTGAATCAAAAATGTGAAGAAATCTTTTTGCATTGTGAGTCAACACAATCTGCAATTGTCCATAATACTCTTTAATAATCAGTATGAAAATTAATATAATCTTTATGTTAGGCCAGTGCAGTTTTGAAAACTGTAGATGGTGCTAGCAATGCCTGTAAATGCTGGAGAAGTTGGAACTGTTGTATGCTGATCCTTAACCCACTGTGGGGGCTCTCCCAGCTTGAAGAAGGCTAAGCCCCAAGTGTTAGTTGCCAAGGCAACCACAGCAAGACACATGATATTCATACCTATCCCAGCAACCACCTGCAAGTACCATAACAGAGCGGTAATGATGACTTCTAAAAGCCATGCATCAAATTACTAATTGACTACATAATACTTCTGAATACTGTATGGATGCATTCAGGACAGCCATATTTAGTTGGCAGATCAGTTATGCCATGGATCATCGGTTCTGAATGCACTCTACAGTTTTTGAAAAATTAAATTAAAAAAAAAACTGGCAGTCTTTAATGTGCTAGTATATGAACATCATTGCAGCTTAATTCAGTTAAAGTATGTCATTTAGATTTTTCAATATATCCACATATTTTTTTACAAACCTGTTCAAATAAAATGAAGATTGCTTACCATATCCCTTACTCTGAGAGTCCCGTAGGAGAAGACGATAGCATTGGGAGGGGTGGCCACAGGTAGCATGAAGGCAAAGGAACAGGCCAAAGTGGCAGGGAATATCAGGTACAGGGGATGGACACCTATCTGGATAGACTGAAAAGATACAATGTATCTGATGTAGTAAAAGAAAATGAATGCCACGTTCCCCTCTATTTATTATCAAAAGCATTTTACCATGGGAAGCAATTTGCATTATTTTAAAGAGTCAAAGGAGAGAGAGAAAAAACAAACACATTTTTGTGGTCTTTAACAATTTCCTACAAAATACATATCATCATACTCATCACGTGTAATTAACATATTTTTTTCACAAACGTGTCTCTAGTATAGATCTATATTATAATCTTAATTCTGATACTGAGATGGCAGTAATATCATACTCACCAGTTCTCCCAGTATGGGTATAATAAGTGTGGCTGTGGCAGTGTTACTGGTCACTTCTGTGAGGAAGGCCACTATAGCCCCCAGTATTACCACTAGTGCAGAAGCTGGTATGCCTGCAAAAGTACTGAGGGCATTGCCAACTAAAGAGGACAGCCCTGACTCCTAGAATCAAGAGCAGACAGAAATGGCAATGAAAAAAATGTCACTTATATGTAGGTAACACCACTGTGGCCAAGTTTTAGATAAAGATCATATACTCTATAGATCATAATATATAAATTACAAGATAGTAAGAAATAATAATTATTAAAATAATGTTACCTTGGCAGCATGCACCCACCAGGGCAAAGCCCCCCCCCCCCCCCCAACTAACATTACCTTGGCAGCATCAGCCAGGGCAAACCCCCAACCTAACATTACCTTGGCAGCATCAGCCAGGGCAAACCCCCCACCTGACATTACCTTGGCAGCATCAGCCAGGGCAAACCCCCTACCTAACATTACCTTGGCAGCATCAGCCAGGGCAAACCCCCCACCTAACAGCAGGACCACACTCCATGGCATCTTCCTGTTCAAGGTGGCCCAGTCCAGAAGTGAGGGAACTGGGGAAATCTCACTGGAATCTAAATTAATGAGATATTCAAACTTATATTAAGTTTAAGTTACTACAACAGTTTAAAAAGACACTAACAGTTTACCACCTACCAGTAAAAAAATATTTCCTTAATTTTATTTACATATATGGAATATTATTGAAATAGAAACATGACATCTTAATTATAACACTGGATAATAATTTCCATTTGGTTCACAACTGTCACAAAAGTAAATAAATGACTATCCATAGTGATCAACACTAGGGATTCATGCAATTAGATTTTAAGCAACCTTTTCAAGTTTTTACCGTATACTTACCATTTCTATCCTTGCAGCAGAGGAACCTTGGTCTCTGGCTCGGCCACATGAATAAGGAAATGGCAATCAGCATGGCAGGGGTGGCATCTGTTACATATCTGACAGAAGAGAGAGGCATTTTTTCATATAGCTTGTACCAGCATTTTGTATCATATTCTTATTCTGCATGTAACTGTGTCACTAAACCTAAGAGGAACAAGTTCAGTTTAATGACAAAACTATAAAAAGACAGAAAAAGAATCATTTAACTGATCTAAACTAGACTTACTTATCAGGAAATAAATTTCCCCACCCTGGTGCGAATCCAGGATCTCGTGTTATCCACAGTAATGCCAGCACACCAAAGTGAATAGAAACTAAGATCTCTGCAAAACTACAACATGAAAAGTGGAATACTTGTGGTTTTGTCTGTTCTTTATCCAACTTTAACAGACATGAGTTTTTATCAGTTTAATGAAAGTTAAAAAAATTATACAATGATATAGTAGTTAGCAAAATACAAATTTTGTTAAAAATAATAATATGCATTTAGGAAAGTTTTAAATAAAAAATAAAAATTCTGATTTCATTTGCTTTTGACATAATTCTGTTCTTTTTTTACAAAATATTTGTTATAATTCAAGTAATACAAATACAAAAATAAATTAAAAAATAATAAACTGCATCTCCTCTGTGATCTACCTATTCCAGTCTATTTATTATTAAACATAATTTATGGAGGGTAAAAAATTGGTTAATATAAAATTTGTCTTCCCTCAGGTACCTGATTGGTCCCATATTGGTATATTCTTTCCTTATCACTTCTTTGACACTTTCATCTCCCCCAGCAGGCATTCTGAAAGTGAACAAGACAAATTATAAAATGAAAACTTGTGCTGGAATTTTGTTAATTTGATTCACGCAACATCCTTTCTATGTTTTGTTTATAATGTGCAGTATCATTCATCTTGTCGGGTACCGCCCGATCAGTTATGAACTTTACGTAATACCAGCCTATGCCGGTTGATCACGATAGCAGTTCAATACGTAGACGGTTCGATGTCTAATCATACGCATGTAAACACGCAAAGAGAACGAACTCTAGTCCCATGTAAGTTTTCGGTAACTATAACGAATATTTACTTCAGATATAGAGCATGTACTACAATCGTCGTGTCTCAAAATGATTTCTAGCAAAAGCCCCCTCTCACAACCAGCAACCTAGCTTTTATAGAGGTTATACAGTCACCTGGTTAAATTACATTAAAGGTCACACCACGACCTGCTGGACAACAGTTAATTAAATTAGGGGTCACTCAACCACCTCCACATCCTCCTAGGAAGTGCCCAGTTCAACTGGCTTCAAAAACACACAAAGGCAATGAAATTCAGAAATAAGATCATACCTGTACGGATATGGAAGTTTTCATAAATGTATTACAAACGTTAAGGGGTCCCTGACACATTCCTCCTTTTCCCACATAAAAAAATATGTTAACATATTTTTTTTATAGATATAAACACACCTATTTGTAAATGTGAATTAATACCGAATTTTTCCCACGACAGATTGGCGAGCTCACCAGGGATACGCTGCGTGGAGAGAAGAACGGAAAAGTCGCCATGGCTCAAGCTCCGGTGACACCGCAAATAACGGGACAAGGAGGAGAGCGAGAGGCGATGGACGCGTTGGTAAACGCCGTTACCATCATAGCACGAGATCTACAGGGGAAACAGATCCAAGACGCGAAACTTAAAATACTGGAGGATGCGGTGAACAGCATCAACAAGTGCGATGGATCCGTTTTATCAGAGGTACGAGAATATTTGGTTGAATTAGATGTTATGGAACCGACAGTGAGAAGTCTGACTGGGGGCATAGTAAAATTAGTCTGTAAAACTTCAAGAGGATCGCTTAGGAGAGAAATAGAACGTTTTCTCAATGCACATGAGGACAGAAATTTGGTTTCGTGGATTTGTATTAAGGAGCACATAGAAAAGACTTTCTTATCAGCAAATGAATCGGAACGTTTGAAATCGGACCTCGAAATGATGCGGCAGTCGCCATATGAGACCTTATTAGCATTCAATAGGAGATTTAGAGAGGCTTCCGCGCGCGCGTATCCGACGCCTAGGGTCGCTGACACAGAACGATTTGCCATTAGAATTTACACTAGGGGACTGCTGGACAGGAGTTTAGCTGAGAACCTCATAGTTCGCGGTCGGCCGACTACACTGGACCAAGCCATCGCGTGGGCGGAAAACGAAAATGCGGGACGCGAAATATTCAAGCAAATGATAAGCGACCCAAACCCGTCACCCCCACAGACAAACGTCATCGCACAGAACGCAATGTTTGAAAATACAGCGGCAAATAGGGTGGAAGAACCAATGGACATTTCCGTTATACAAACAGACGCGAGCAAACTTATCCACCAATTACAGGAAACGTCAGCGACTATTCAGAAAGCGCTAAAAGAACAGGAAAGAATACAGACGCGCATAGCGAAAATCGAAACGCGGGTTTATAACACACCTGATTCCCAACCGCGCAGACGCACGCAACAGCAGAGGGAACCACGGAGAGATAATCCCCCACGACAAAACCAAAACAATTCACGCCAAGCACAAGGGAGACCATTTACGCGGAATCAGTCAGGATGGCTAGAAGACGGGACCGTCGTCTGTTTTTACTGCAATAAACCGGGACACAAACGAGCCGAGTGCAGACTGCTGCGCACATACAAAAGAAGCAACCAGCATTTAAACTAGCTTCCGCAGGGACTGCAACTAAGGAAAGGAATCAACGATTAGGCGCGTCATTATCAGTTAGTGGTGTGAAAATCGCCAGTTTAATTGATAGTGGGGCGAGTTGCAGTTGCCTGCGGTTAGATGTATTTTTGAAAATTTGCAAATCAACGGGAAGGCCAGTCTTGGTAGAGAAAACTAGGGACATCTTCAGTGTGTCAGGCGAGAAGTTGGACGTGAAAGGCCGGGCACAGATCAAAATAGACAACATTGGAATTTTTGAAGTCATTGTGGTAGCGAACATAGATCATGAAATGATCATAGGCATAGACATTTTGAAGCAGGGCAAAGCGAAGATTGACTGCGTAAGAAAATCTATGACTCTCTTTGATAAAGAATGGCCATTGACGGACTACGGACTACCAGGCCCAGTTTCGGAAATCACTCAACTACCACAATCATCGGGACACGACAAAATTGACACACTGCTACAGGAATATCACGACGTCTTCAGCACGACTGAACACCCCCTAGGGAAATGCGATATGATGCCCATGATCATTGATACGGGAGATAACAGGCCGGTCCAACAGAGAGCTTATCGTGCGCCGCTAGCCAAGAGAGAATGGATTGAGAAGGAAATTCAGAACTTATTGGACAACGACGTCATCAGACCAAGCCAAAGTCAGTGGTCTTCACCTGTCCTTTTAACACCTAAATCAGATGGATCTATGAGGTTTTGCGTAGATTACCGTAAACTGAATGAAATTACGAAGGTTGATAGATATCCTTTACCGTTAATCAACGATATATTTGATAACATTGGTGGAGCCACAGTTTACAGTGTGATTGATTTGAAACAGGGGTTCAATCAATGTGCACTGGACGAAGCAGACATGCATAAGACTGCATTCATCTGTCACCGCGGTCTGTTTGAGTACAAGACTATGCCTTTTGGCCTTTCTAATGGACCTAATCACTATNAACAACTGTCCTTTGTCTGATTTGTTGAAGATTCACTTCTCTTAAACATGTTCTCCGAGAAAGTCCATCTTGTTCTGCTCAATTCCGCGAGTCCACATTAAATGATGCATAGAGCAATCTTCCATCTCTGTGATGCTGGCAGTACCTCTCCTGTTTAAGTAGGAGTTTTCTTTGCGTAACCCTGCTTGGGAAGCAACGAGCGAGTACGTCTTGCTCAAGGACGAGCCCGGGTAAGCAAGATTCGTGGTAACCCATTCCTCCACTACAGACCTCAATCACTAACGTGACCTCAGGACTGCTCTTGCCCGGTTGTTTATACTCGTGTCCACGAGTTAACTGCATTAAGTGTCCCAAAACATCATCGACGGGTTCCTTCTCAGATCAGTGCGTGTCCATGTCTGGTCATTTCACACCCTGGGAATCTTTCTGGAGATGCTGGGTACACCACATTACTTCTGCCTTTGAAACTCTCAACCATGTCAGATAATGTCTGAAAAACACAAGAAGAAAAATCGCCTCCCGGTCGGGCAGCATGGTTACAATATGCAAATGAAACGTTACAAATATTATGTATATATAAAAAAAATCTTCCATACAGCTTCTGAAAAGAAAAATTTGCTTGATTAGTGTTTTAAGTAATTCATTCCCTCCTAAATCTCTGAAAGTCAAAATGTCATTAATACAAAACAGTCATTCCCAACATTATAGTATTTGAGTCACTGATCCTTTAACATAATCCTGGACGCAGGCCTATATCCAAAAAAATACCGTTTTTATTTTATTTTATTTTATCCATTAGATTAAGGTTTTTATTTATTTATATTTAGTTAGTTAGTTATCGCGACAGCTTAGAGCCGATCATGCGAAATCGAACAATCCTCAATATCCCTAGATGACTGCACGTTATCACCAGGAATAGCCACATCCAACCTAACCTAAGGACCAGGCATGACCTCTCGAGGATTCTCCAACTCGCAAAACGGTTAACATCCTACCTAATGTTTGTGTGTGTCATGTTATTTTGCTATAGCTTTTAAGAAAATTTTGTTTTAAACCCTATTTATGCCTTTTATTTGTTATTACTTCGCGGTTTAAATCGCGGTTTACTCGATGTTACGCGTGTTGTCCCCTGGGCCTTTGTCACTTTTAACTGCTGTCTCTGGGTGATTACACTCTGTCAGACAGCCTGCTCCATTCTCCTGTGATTCCTAGAATAAAAAGGAAACTCACATATTATTTGAAATGCGCGCGACTTACATTCCCTTATAAACCACTTAATTAGAGATCTCCATTTGTTCTCGCTCGACTACGCCCTCGCAGTCAGCTTAATTAGAGATCTCCATTTGTTCTCGCTCGACTACGCCCTCGCAGTCAGCTTCCTCCATTTGTTCCTGCTCGACCACGCCCTCGTAGTCGGCTGCTCTTAACCTCTTGTGACTAACCTGATTCTCGTCTTCCCCGATACATCTCTTCCTGAACCTAGTGTTGTAGGAATGAGTGGGGATACTGAATTGTGGCGCTGCACCGTGCCTACGCCTTGCGGGTACAGTTTGTCGGTTACTGACTGAGTTAGACTCACCTGTCATACTCACCGACACCTCCCTATCTGCGTGGCTGGATACCCTTCTACGTTTGTTTGAATCTGGCACTTCGTGTTGTGGAGTGGGTTCTTCCCTTGTGGCATTTGAGTTGACTGGTGGTCCACCAAGTTGCAACTGCGGTCCCCCTGGATTTGCCCTCCTCCTGAATACACGGCGTGCACGTGGCCTGACTTCATCCCATGGTAATCCTCTGTCTACCAATCTGAGTTTGTTCCTGTTAACAACCCGTGACTTGCCTGTTTGCTGGTGGGTGACCCAGAAAACATTTCCTCTGTGTCGTGTGACTGTCCAGACTGGGTCCCACTTGGATCCGAAAGTTACGTTGTCAGGAGCGTAAACTATAACAGTGTCTCCTACCTCTATCTTGTTGGCGTTTGCTTTCGCGTCAAATCTCCGTTTGTTTTCTAATCTTGAAGACTGAAGATTATCTCTTGCGGCTGTCAAAGCGTCTGCCAGATCTCCCAATCTCCCATTTAGTGCATGATAATTGTTTGATGGGTTTAACATCGATGAC